GAGCGCCGCGCGGGATCCGGCGGGCGGAGACAGCCGCCGCCGCCTGCGCTCGCGGGCCTCGCGGTCACGTAAGCGCGCGGGACTCCCTGCCTGCCACGGAAGGTGCGATTTCTCGCTGCGATTGGAGATGATGAATCCCGATCCTGGAATTTCCTCTCCGAAAACCCTGCGGCAGAAAATGCAGGAGGAAAAATCCTGCGGACATGATTTGTGTGGCTCTACCCGCTGGGAGAGGAAATGGATAGTTTTTCTTCGGGGGATGCTGAAAGGCTGCTGATTTCCCGAGGTGGACGTCAGTGGCCAAGCCCGTCTTGGATGCCGGAGTGTGTCCGGTGGCTGGGCAGTGCCCGTAGTCGCTGTCACTCGAGCTGTGCAGGGAGTGTGATGGAGCCTTCGCGGCCCCACGTCCGCAGCGCCGCGGGTTGCAGACTTGGCCCTAGTAAACTCATCAAAATAAAAGCCCTGTGTTCTGTGTTTTGTGCCTTAACGATGATGCTGGTGAGGTTGCTCTGGTTTAAGACGGTCTAGGAAGACGTAACCATTTGTTATTTTTTTCAGTATTGAACAATGAAATCGACTGTATTAAAAACGTCGGTGGGGATTGTAACTGGCATCAACTTCATCCCCAAGCCAGTCTTTTACACAGTAATTTAAGATGGTTTTCTGGTTGGATAAAACAGAATGTAGAACGTTTTCTGAAATGTTCATTTTGAAGGACTAATGCAGGTATTTTCATATCTTGACAGTTTTACATGACTCCAGAAGAAAAGGAGGAAGGGACGAGAGCTCCCTTTCCTGGAAGGCATCTCTGGCCTGGCTTTTGTGCCAAGTTGAAATTAAGTTCTGATTGTGGAACTGATTCTTCTCTTTTCCGTGCAGAAAGCTATCTCCACAGACCAGTTGCCTGCTAGTAATGTACCCTTATCAGGCTGTACTGACAGAGAGAAACTCACAGCTTGGCATATCTTGGCTGCCAGATCAGCCAGCTAAAATTATTTTTTTTTAATAATATAATAGTTTATTTTTACATCATTGTGTACATTTTTGTTTTCATCTCAATTGTAATCCCCATGGGTTTCCCATCACCGAGTCACCAGTGTGCCATCACCATAGTCCTGTGCACTTCCCTCCCCTAAAATTCTTAATAATGTTTTTAGTATAAAACTCTACTTGTTTCAAATGATTTGCAAAAAATTTTGTGGGATGTGCTGGTCAGGTGCACGTTGTCATTTTACTCTTTTATTATGTGATATGCAACAGGTTGCCTGATTTTTATAGCTTATGAAGATAGTACAGCTTAAAATAGGTTTGTGCATAGTGCCCTGTTAGTTTACCACTTCAGCATGTACACACATGCTTTCCATGGAGTACTAATCTATTAAAATGATGAACTTTTGCCTTCCTATGGATGGAACTTGAGGTTATACTAAACAAAAATAAATTAGAAAGTGAGAAACAGCTATTGAATGGTTCACATATGTAGAATATGAACAAAGCTAATAAATAAAAACAGAACAGAAATAACCCTTAGATCCTGAGAAGAATGATAATTATCTGAGGGGAAGAGAAAGGGTGGTTGGAGGAATGGGTAGATAATAGTATGAAGAGCACTGGAACTTTAGTAGTGGGTGTGGCCTGTTATGTACACATATTCGGTGTGAAGCTGTACTCCCGAAACTTACATACTATTGTAAACTAATGGTAAAGCAATAAAATTTTATTTAAAATTATGTTAAATGTGTTTCCATAATATACAGTAAACATTTCAAGACATAGGAAAACCTTGTACTTGCCACATTTTCGTTTCTTTCAGAGTAAGTAAATGAAAGTAGAGTCATAAATTCAATAAAATGGTACCATATTGAGTATGTTTGTATAACTTGTAACCTTTAAACAAAGTCATTACACAATGTTGATTTGATATTTTTTGCTTTCAATAGGTAACCTGTTTTGGACTAAGAAGAACTTTTAAATTTATACTATAGGTTTTTGCATAAATGTGTAGTTTCTTGAATTAGAGTCATAATTTGTGCAGGGAAAAATTAGATTTTCTTTAGAATGAATTTATGCTTTATTTTTTTACATCTGAAAATAGACTTTAGGGTTGGGGGTACTGGATAGATTTCTAACAAGACTCTGTCAGATCTAAATCTTTGAGGCATGGGGAAGTAGAGGACTTAGAATGTGGATTTCATAAGATTGACATGATTTTGTGTCTTTTTTTTTTTTAGCCATGTTGCCTTAGCTTCCAACTCTAAGAAATTTGTTGACTTAAAAAAAAACAATTTTTAGTACTAAGGCATACTGTTAACTTGCATAGAATGAAAATACAAGGTTGTTTTTGAGATTGCATGCTGCAGTTAACTCAAAAGTATCTGGTGGTATAATTTTGCCCCAGACTTTGAAATTCAGAATGGTCAAAGTACTTTGCCTTGATATGCATCATTTCCTTATCTCTGGTCCTTTATATAGTCTTAACAATTACTTACGCACAATCTGTTCCCCCTTAAGATGACAATTTTTATGTACTTATTATATAAAAAAAAAATTAACCCAACAATATAGATACTAAAAAGGGAGGAAAAAATCCCCATTTCTCCACTTAGAAAAACCTATAGTTAAAATTGTATAGGATTTATGATGCACATTGGGGAGGGTACTATGATATTAGTTTAGTTTAGGATGAGAAGGGGTTTGACTCTACTAGAAGAGACCAAGGGAGAAGAGAAATAATAATAAAAAATTGTGCTAAAAAATAACACACACACATATACATTTATATGTGTGTGTGTATATATATATATATATTCTACACACTCACATATACATAGAATATATATATATACACACACACATATAAATGTATATATATATTTGTGTGTGTGTGTGTGTGTGTATAGAATATTGTTAATTTAGTCTTAAACATTTCTTTTGACATCTTGAGCCTGGATTTATTCTTAATTTAGAGACTTTTTAATTCATAAAACTCGACCTTTGTTGTTCCTTCTAAAGTTTGTATGATATAATTGGAAAATACCTCTATATTAATGAAGTGAAATTGAGAACAAATAACGTCAGCATCTTGGTATTTCTTTCAAGACAGAAAATAAAATCCAGAATTAATAAAGCTTTCATCCTAGGACATTTCCTTCCTTTAGAAGAAAAACTTTTTTTCCTAATTTATACAATGATTAACATAAACTTTTGTTTTTATTTTATATAGACGAGGTCTTTACTGGGTGTATTTGAAGAAGATGCTACAGCTATTTCCAACTATATGAACCAGTTGTATCAAGCTATGCATCGGATTTATGATGCACAGGTAATAAGCCAAAGGCTGACTCACTGTTTTTTAAAATGAATCTAAGCCATGAGGACAAAGATATTGTCTTGTTTCATGGTGCCTAGGTCTGTTACAAAACAGTGATATAATTTATTTATTTATTTTATTTTTACACCATTTTGTGCCTTTTTCCATCTTATTTGTAATCCTGGTAGTGATATAGTTTATTTAATGGATAATTGCACTTTAAATATTTTGAGTTTCAACGTTTACATTTCAATTACTAGTTTGTAGCATTAACATTACAAAGTGCTCAGACTGAAGTATCTGCCTCTGCTCCCCAAACACAGGAATTTCTTGGAAGTCACTGATAGTGATGTTTATATGTGATTTTACTAAAAACCCTATGTTGTCAGCAGTATTTTTTCTAGTTCAGCTGCTAATTTTATTCATTATTTCCCTTTTGGGAGTATAAGATTATTATCCTGTACTTTTATCTAGTTAGAACTTTAGCTTTATTTAGTTAGGAGATATTAAATTCTAGATGTAGTTCTGGATTTGGGGAGATGAATTTAAGAATAAAATTTGAAGCTATGTTTATATAACTTAGTAAGCCTTAATAGTAGCCTGGGTTTTTTTTTTTTTTTTTAAGATTTATTTATTTATTTGTACAGAACTGGGGTACAGGCCAGAGATGCGGAAGGTGAGAGGATTGACCAGAGACAGAGTGGGGTGCAGAACAGGCAGATGGAAGTAGCAGCGGGCGGGTCAGGAGAGGTCTGCCTTGCCATGTGGATCTCCTCCAGGGCAGGCGAGGATGGAACTCATGCAGAAGTGGCTCAAGCTTCTCTGTGCTGTGCTTTAACCCACTGCACCATCAGGGAGGGCCAGTAGCCTGGGTTTTATGATACACTTTCTTTGGGATTAATTATGTGCAATTTCAACTTTTCCCTTTCTCATTTTCTGTTTTTCTGGGTTCACATTTTCATTATTTACATAAAAGTTACTATGATAGTAGTTTATCTTTTTCCTTGTGATAGGTCTCTCAAGATTTAATTTCTAACCACAGAAAAACTTTGTTAATTTGTAAGAGAAATGTTATTTTTGTCATTGTTTTCATTATTAAAAAAAAACCACTTCAAATTAAAAAAAAACCACTTCAAATTAAAAAAAAAGGTATTCCTTTATATTACTAATATGGTTGTTATATGAATAAGTTGATTACTTTTTGCTATATGTTATCTAGTGCATGTTATGGCCTAATGCCAGTATCTAGAGAGGGATAATGAGTCATCAACATAGGATCTTCGAAGACTTTGGTAAGATGGTTACAGTTTACTTTTAGTTTTAAAGCTTTAACAATATTTAATGCTAGTCTTTAGCTTAAAGAAAGCACAAATCTCTAAGGTTGATGAATTATTTGGTGGTGTCTATTTCATGGTTTAATTTTCCTTTAAAGTGCTTTAATAATAGTTCCCTTTCTAGTGATTTGGTGGTGGGGGGTGTTGTGTTGGAGAACATGTACAGTATTTATGTTACATGATAAAGAAAAATGGCCTCGATATCTTCAACTAAAACTTTTTTCTTCATCAGTAATATGGTGTTAATCTGAATGCTAATTTTTCCCATAGAATGAATTAAGTGCAGCAACACACCTGACTTCAAAACTTTTAAAAGAATATGAAAAACAGGTACTGTATATGAAAGTTTTAAAAGCATAATATAAAAATAAGCAGTAATGCAGTTATCTGTATAAATAGGATTTCTCATTAAGCATTCTAATCTTTTTTGAATTAACAGGAGGTAATTTTGATACGGTATTGAAATTCCATGATAACACTTATATCTAATTAAAAAAAATTGTAATAGTTTATTTTTACATCATTTTGTGCCTTTTTCCATCTCAGCTGCAAGATTTAGTGTTAGACCCAAGATTATCCAGTTTACCTCTCTCATTTTAACAAATGAGGAAACTGAGGCTTACTCAGGGTTGCACAGCTGGATACTGGAGGAAGTGGAGCTAAACACCATCTTTGAACTCCCAGTAGTTTGTATCCCTATGTATCATGCAGAGTGATTACTTAGCAAACATCTGAATGAATGTTTACTAATTATATTAATTACACTGTTTCATTCAAGTGAAATTTTTAGAGTTTACTTAGAATTTTGTACGTTTTCTGAAGTTGTTTAAAACTACATTTTTATTTCATTCACAAAACAGCATCAGACATTTATCTTGTCTCTCACTTCTCAGCGCTTTCCATTAGGGGGTGATGATGAGGTTATGAGCTCTACTTTGCAACAGTTTTCAAAAGTTATAGATGAGGTAAGTGATTTGCTTGAATATATGGTCTTGTAATTAAGTTAGTGAAGTTGTTTAGTTTTTATTGAGAACTTTTATTATAATTATATGAATAAAGTGCAATTAATGTATTACTATTTAAAGAAGAACCTTATTTCCACATCTTGGTTGTCTCACAGAACTACACTTTCTTTGATTAAACCATATGATTTTCAATGAAGAAACATAGAGATGTGCTTTCATCATGCAGTCTGTTCAATGTCCCATTTTTCATTGAACTCTGTGATGTAGGCAGGGACAGAAAAGTTATGCTGTGAGCCACAGCTTGGCTATTCATAGTTTGTCTCTGTTGCCATCAAACATTTCACTTCACTTCCCTTCACTTTATTAATCATTCCATCCAAAACAGCCAATATCAACCCTTAGTTTAACTAATTAATCATTAGAACAAATCACAAAAAAATTACCTAGAAGCTAAAAGGAAGAAAGGTGCTAAGAGATGTTTTTTAGAGAGTCTATAATCTCTACTATTGGAATGAAAAGCAAGAACTATTAATTAGTTCTCTCTTTTCTAGTCTCTTAACTGGACATCAGTATACAGGAAATAGAATTTATAGGAAACAGAATTATTTTTATTGTGGTAAAATACACAGTTCATAAAACTTAACATTAGTCACATTTACATTTAAATTTACAGTGTGTGCAACACTCACTATTGATGTTCTAGAACATTTTCATCATCCCAAAGGAAATCAGATGCACATTAAGAATTCACTCCCTACTTCTTTCCCCCTTAGGCCCTGCTTTCTATTTGTGATACTTTACCTATTTTGGATATTTCTTTAAATGGACTCATACCATTTGTGTTTCTTAGTTTTTGTTTTTATTTGTTCTTTCATTTATCCCAATGTTTTCATGGTTCATACTTGTAAAAATACATTATTCCTTTTTGGGGGCTGAATAAAATTCCGTGATACATTTTACATTGATACATTTTATATATCCATCAGTTGATGGAAATTTGCATTGGTTACACATTTTGGCTAGAGGAATAATACTGCCAAAAGCATTCATGTAGAAGTATTTTTTAATTCCAGCTTTCATCTTTCAGGTATATATCCAGAAGTGGCATTACTAGCTCGTATGGTATTTTTCCAGATCCTCAACAATACTTTTAATTCATTCATTTATTTTTTTTAACGATAGCCATCTAGCATTTCTTGAGTATCTTTTGATGCACTTAAGTTTTTAATTTTGATGAAGTGAGATTATACTTTCTTTTGTTGCTTTGGTGTCATAACTAAGAAACCACTGCCAAGTCCAAGGTTATCCTGGGTTTTTGTAAGAATCTTAAATGGGAATTTTTTGGTATAATATATTCTCTTTCACATTATTTTTAATGTCCTCATTAAAATGTATCAGTGCCTCTTTACTAAATTTTGCTTAATTTACAAAGCAATAGTTAAATGCCTGTAGTTATTTGACTTTTTTGTTCTTATCTTTTACTAGCTTAGCTCTTGTCATGCAGTACTTTCAACACAACTTGCTGATGCCATGATGTTCCCCATTACTCAATTTAAAGAAAGAGATCTGAAAGGTATTGAAGTCAATCTTACCTTTACTTTTGTCAGCTGTCAGAGATCAGTGCTTGTGAAGTGTGTTTTATACTCACTTGTAATGTGAACTGCTCATACTACCTGTGCAATTTATACTTTATTTAGTCCTATTTTTAGTAACTCCTGATAGCTGTTAACTAGATACTAAGGAACACTATATGTGTAACATGACACTTCTCTCAAGACCTACCAGAGGAGATTGGTAAACAGATAATTATGATACTCTGTCTTATAATTAGGGAATGAGCAAGGTGCTCAGTGGGGGTGTGTGTGTAGGGGGGGTAAGAGTAGTGTGTCAGAAAATCTTCACCAAGGATGTGACATGAGCATTGAATGATAAAGATGAGCAAAGATAGCCATTTTATTAGTTAGAAGGACTAGAATAAATCAAAGTATAATTCTAGAAATATAAGACTTATATTAAGAATGACAAGAACTTCATTGTATTGTATTGTTGGATGTGTTGGGACATGGCAGGGGACAAAGCTAGAACTAGATTAAAACTAGATCATGCTAAAGAGGTTGAACTTGAATTTATAGTCAAAGAGAAGTCAGTGGAAGTCTTTAAAAGTAGGGACACACAGTCCCTTATATGAGGCACTAGACTGAATTTAATGTCTTTTCTATTAATTTACAATCTCAGATAATCATGCAGACTTATTTATAAAACAGGTTGATCAAATGAAAACATTGAATAATATATCTAGAGATGGCAAAGTAATTAAAATATACATGGAATGAAGGTGAATGTATTTTAGAGATGAAATTAATATTTCTGTTAGTGATCCTCAAGAATCATTTCCAAGTTGAAGAAATTCTTTTTTCAATCTAAGGGGACCAAATGCCATAATCTTATTAATGAAATGTTTTTTTACTCAGCATATAAGTTATATTCTGATACTAGGAATATGTGCATATCTTAGAATTGGCAATAGCTTTAAAAATTTTTTTGTGTCACATTACTAACCTGTAATAAGTAGATTTTCTGGTAGTGTAACTTGATAATGATGATACATGTTCCATAGGCTAGCAAAAACTTGAGATTATTGTTCATTTGGGATGCTGAAAATGAAATATTATTTGTAACTTTGTAGCTTAAACAGCAATTACTGTTTTCTATGCAAAAGTTAAGATTATTTTATAAATATGTTAAACTGAAATTATTCTTGAACTTTTCCAGAAATATTGACATTAAAGGAAGTGTTTCAGATTGCTAGTAATGGTAAGCCCTGACTACTTTGTAGACTTACTTCTTGAAATGATGCATTTCTTTTTTTTTTTTTTTTTTAAGATTTATTTTTTTGTACATACAGAACTGGTGTACAGGCCAGAGGCTCAAGGGCGGCAAGAGGCCTCACCAGAGACAGAGTGGGGATCAGAACAGGGAGATCCGCGAAGTACACTGCTGAGGGGAGCAGCGGGCGAGACAGGGAGGTCTGCCTCGCCATGTGGATCTCCTCCGGGGCAGGCGGGGATTGAACTCATGTGGAAGTGGCTTAAGCGTCTTTGTGCTGTGCTTTAACCAGCTGCGCCACCAGGGAGGGCCCAAAATGATTCATTTCTTTATGGAAATAACTTTGTGGCCAGATCTATATATTAATTTAAAAAATCTAAATAAAAGTTTAAGTGAGCATTTTAAAAATAAGTGTTTTATTTAAGTTGCACTATTTGTGCTACAAAAAATTTAAAATTTAAAAGAAAATTAAATGTTTTTATCTGTTTAATACATAGAAACATATTTTAGGGGAAATTTGGCTGTGGGAAAATAATTGTGTGGCGTGATTGCATGATAGGAGATTTTTATCTTGTTTTTAGTACATTTGTTGCAAGATGTACATGTGAAGACCATTTAAAACATTTATAAGTCTTGCAAACTACTATTGTATTGTTTTTAGTAGTTACATCTGTTTTTCAGATCATGATGCTGCAATTAACAGATATAGCCGATTATCAAAAAAAAGAGAAAATGATAAGGTACTATATATACTTTTCCAATTAACAACTGTTTCTTTGAGTGGTCTAGATAGATTTCCTGTTAAAAATGGTAGCCAGCAGTTAATTTTGTTTATTTTGCTAGTACTGCCCTTAGTTTATTCTTTCCATTTAGTGTTTCAAAACCTTCCTAATAATTGTTAATGATCAATTTAACTGAAGTAATAGAAGTCCAAACAAAGTGCTGATAAAGCACAGGGAGGGTGGCAGTTAATTTTGGTGAATTGGAAAAGGTTTAACTTTTAGGAGGAGCCATTTACATTGAGGGAGAGATGATGTCACAGTTTTGGATTGTGGTGAGGGCATTCTGGAAAGAAAACTAGTCTTTGCAAAATAACATGGTGGTGTATGGAGAGTTAAAGGTTAAGAATGCTGGCTCCAGAGTCTGATTGCTTGAGGACAAAGCTCAGCTATGCCCTTTATTTGCCAGAGTTCACACATTAGTTCCTAGTTATTTCCATAATAAAATAGCAGTGGAAATATATGTGGAGTACCTGGCTTATAGCAAATTTTCGTTAAATACTAGCAACAGCTATTATCATAATGGAAAAATAATATTTCAGTCGCATGGAACACAGGCTGTATTTGGAGAGGTATGGTAGAAATATAAAGAAAAAAAGTTGCTTGGGACCAGATTATTATGTTAATAAGTTTGAAATGTGTGTTAGAGGGAGGTTGCCACCAGTAGATTCTATGTAGGTGGGTAACAATATGTAATTGCCTTATAGGATAAAAATACTGGTGGAAATGTGAAGGGAACAATATATCCAGTGAAAAGATACTGGAATAATTTACAAAGAAGAGAATCTCAGATAAGATTGTCTTGAAAATGGAGAGGAAAGAATACCTTTGGAAGATATTAAGTAGAATTGACAAGATGTATGGAGGAGGAGGAGGAATTAAAAATGAATCCGACAATCGTTGGGTGAGGGGACAGATCTTAGAATAATTGATAGAGCAAGAAACAAAGTAGAAGAGCAGGTTTTATGGGGAAGATACTGTGTCTCAGCACATTCTCTTTTGCTTCTTGTCTCCACTGGACCCCTTCTTTCTCCCTCTCTCCCTATCCTTTAGAAACTACTGTAGATGTGCTTCATCCAGAGGCACTTGGAAGAATGAGGAACAGGAGATAAAATTTGTTGTGTTGGAATATACTTGATACTTGATATGCTAATCTAAGGAAAGCAGAAGGGAAAAGAGCCAAATACATAGTAAATAATAGGTGCTCCATAAATATTTGTTGTCTGAAAACAAAGCGAACACAAATATTTCAAGTGTGAGTTAAGCCAGTACAAGAGAGGAGTAGCTGTAGGGGGAGAACCAGGAGGAAGGAGTGGAATGCTGTAACTGACCCAGGTCAAAGCTAACATCAAACAGTTATCTATCTTTTCCTGCAGGTGGTACACTTTCTCTGACATGATTAGTTTTGTTATTGTACCATCCTTAGTTATGTGCCAAATTCTTATTTAATATGCATTTCTTTAAAAAGAAATAGTAGTAAAGAAGGAAAACAGTCTTAGCCAATATGTTAACAGGATTTCTAGTATCTTAGAAAAATAGGAAATTTATGTAGAATTTGTAGATAGGTACTTTTTTCCTTTATAAGTTCTTCACTATAGATAATTCAAGATTTAATAATAGTATCCTTAATTTTTTCATTTAAAGGTGAAGTATGAAGTCATAGAGGATGTCTACACTTCCAGAAAAAAACAACACCAGACCATGATGCATTATTTTTGTGCATTAAATACTCTTCAGTACAAAAAGAAAATAGCACTGTTAGAACCTCTACTTGGGTACATGCAAGCTCAGGTGAATATTAACCTGTGTTTTGGAAATAACTGTCCTAAAAATTTTATGTTGTCTTATATTTATGTTAAATATCAAGGGTATTACAAACTTGCCAAACTATTCATTTTGTCTCTATTTAAGAAGTAACTTTAAAATTGTCATCAGGATGATATTAAGGAAATTAGAGACAGTGATTTTTCTTGCAAATGAGATTTTAAATATTTTAGGGTACATTACACCACTTACCTTGTATTTAGACCTTGTCCATCCCAGCTGGGGACACGGAACAAAGGCTAAATGGATTCTGGAGTCAAAGTTATTGCAATAGCTTTCACTCAACACTTGATTTATAATCTGAAAGAGAATGAACCAGTTTATCTAACATTCCTTGTATACTGCACGTGTTAAAATTAATAAATGACTATGTAAAAATGTATGTATTAGAAAGGAGACTAAATAAATTTGGTTGATATAAGCCTAAGTGGCAAGTTTCCTAAAAATCAAAAGTTAGAGAGGAATTTGAATATTCCTTTAAATAATGATAGTTCACATTCTTCAAAAATATTTATCTTTGTAGAAAACATGAAATAGTTTACTAGACTTATTTTAAATGTTTTAAAGCTTATTTTCCAAATTAAAATAGTTATTTAACACATGCATATATTAATATGTAATGGGATGGGCAGCAGTTTCCCTCTTACTCATGGCTTCAATTATTGTGGTCAACTGCGGTCCTAAAATACTACATACAACATACTTTGAGAGAGACCACATTAATATAACTTTTATTAAGTTATTGTTATATTCTAGACTATTGTAAGTCACTGTTATTAATCTCTTACTGTATCTAATTTATAAATTAAGTTTTATCCTAGGGATGTATGTATAGAACATAACATAGTATGTATGTGGTTGAATACTTTCCACAGTTTCAGGCATTCACTGGGGGTTTTGGATTGTATCCCTTGCAGATAAGAGGGAGCTACTCTACCGGGCAATCTAAGTTAGTGGCACTATGACCAGTAGAAGTTATTCTAAATTCTAAAGTAATTTTACACAAATGGGAATAACCCTTTATTTTTTACTTAACCATGTATTTTGGAGCTTTTTTTTATATGATTCACTTTAAGTATTTGTGTGTATGTGTATTTGTGTTGTTCAATCTTCCATTCCCATGCCCTCTTGCCCCAGATAAATTTCTTTAAGATGGGTTCTGAAAATCTCAATGAGCAACTGGAAGAATTTTTAACTAATATTGGAACAAGTGTGCAGAAGTAAGTATTTTCTTCATTAAAATTGAAAATGAAGTTAGGTGAATAATAAGTTCACAGTCTAAAATTTTTTACCATTTAATTCTCTGAAGGACTATTTTCTCTCTTATTACATCTTTTTGCATGGCTCATAGATGCTTCTTGTTTTTCTCACTGTCTTTTCCATAGATCTGAACAGTGAATTTTGTAACTATGAAATCTGATAGTATTATTGCATTGAGTCAGGTTTTATATCTGAATTATAACAGACACACAATAGTAATTATCCATAAGTAAATTATCTTCATAATTCTTTGCATTGTGAGGAGTGGGCAGGGGATTATTAAATCAATCTTGTTTTCCAAGTCATTAGAAAACAATTTAAGTCAGCTTCAAATGTCAGAACAGTGATGTGGTCAAACTGAGGTATGGAGGGAAATGAAAATGATTGTTTGAAACACACAGGACAGAATGCTTTGAAAAATTCTCTGAAATTAGGCATTTGGTGTGACATCATTAGATTTTTAATTTATCATTGCTTCTAAAATATCCAAGTTTCAAATAAAATGTAAAGCTATTTCAACACATGTTTATGTTTAACCATATGCCACTGTATGCCCTTTAAGAAAATATGTAGAAAACAAAAATGCAGGTAAACATGGCCAGTAAGGAGTTTTTTCTTGATAGTAAATAATCTGTTTTCTCTCTTAGTGTTCGCAGGGAAATGGACAATGATGTAGAGACCATGCAGCAGACAATAGAGGATTTGGAAGTAGCTAGCGATCCCTTATATTTGCCTGACCCAGATCCCACAAAATTTCCTGTTAATCGAAACTTAACCCGAAAGGCTGGATACCTTAATGCTAGGAAGTAAGAAAACTTGTTTTCATGTATTTTGTATCATCTAAGGTAATTCTAATTGAATATAATATATAATTGATGTTATTTGCCAGATTGTTTTGAATTTTACACAAGGTTGAATCTTTTTCGTTAGTGGTACTAGTTTTTATGTGAACTTTTTGACAGAGGAGGGCACATGAAAAATTTCAAATCTTAAATTCTACTTAGGTATTTATTGACTAATTTAGAATTTGAACTATATTTTATAGAGCTGTAATTATTTTAACAGCTGCAGTTTGATCATCCTTAGCCTTATTTGGGGAAGATATACTTGCAGAAGGGTGTTAGCATATGTGAATTTGGTTTAAAGGCTATAATTAATACTTTCTAGGTATATTGGTACCTTTTTGTAAACTTCATTGGATTGTACTTTATTTTGTGTCTGGCTTAGGAGACTTTAGGTATGTTGTTATTAAAGAGTGAATTTTCTTTCTTCATTTAGTAAAACGGGTTTGGTGTCATCTACCTGGGACAGGCAGTTTTACTTCACACAGGGTGGAAACCTAATGAGTCAAGCCCGTGGGGATGTAGCAGGAGGCCTGGCCATGGATATAGATAACTGTTCAGTGATGGCGGTGGACTGTGAAGACAGGCGATACTGTTTTCAGATTACTTCTTTTGATGGAAAAAAGTTAGTATACTTTTCTACTATTAATACAATCTGTTATACCTTAAATTACTGAAATTTAGGCTAATTCCTTTTCATTTAGACATTTTTTTGGACATCATTTTTTTTAATTATTACAAAAGTTTATTTTTACATCATTTTGCACATTTTTTTTTCCATCTCGATTGTAATCCCCACAGGTTTCCCATCACCAAATCACCCGTGTGTCACCACCATAGTCCCATGCATTTCCCTCCCTTCCTTGTCTCCCCCCCATTTTTGATCCCATTCCCACTCCACCCCCACAACATGTCTCTGGTATATGGTTGTTCATTATTTTTGTTATTTTCTCGCCTGGTCCCTTATACTCCTGCTATGAGTGAAACCATCTGGTATTTTTCTTTCTCTTTCTGGCTTATCTCACTAAGCATGATCTTTCCCAGCTCCATCCCAGTTGCTGCAAAAGACATGTGTTTCTCTTTTTTGGTTGCTGAGTAATATTCCATTGTATATATGTACCACATCTTTTTTATCCAGTCTCTATTTTTGGGCATTTGGGCTGCTCACTTAGACATTTTATAGTTATTTTAAGCTTAGATATGAAGATAATATTCTTTTTAAAGTTGTAGAAATAATATTGAATTTTTCATTTTTACTTGGTAAATAATAGCTTTATATTTTGAGGTTGTCCAAAGTAAGGTCATATAGTAAAGACCTAAGATTTCATGTTATAAGACTGTTCATTGAAAATCGTGCCTGGTATGGGAGGCAGTACAAGTTGTTGGAAAGAGCTTTAACTCTTTCTCACTTTGGGGTGAGAAAGTTAAAATTCTGGATTTACTATGTGGTCTTAGACAAATTACACAATCTCTAAGTTTTATTTTTTTACATTAAAATGGGAATGGGAGATGGTAATAACTGCTACTTAAATTGTTAAGAAGAGAAAAAAATCTAACAACTGTAATGTAACTAGGATATAGTAGGTGTTAGCAGAATTGTTATTTTTAAATGTCAACAAAATATTTTTTCATCAAACTGTTTAGTCCTTTAATATTTATATGCTATTTCAGAACTTCTTTGACTGTTGAATTAAATGAGAATCCATACAGTAGTCTTTACAACAAATTTTTGAAAAGTAGGAAAAATATGAAAAGGAATATTTTTAAAAAGCTGCAGTCTTACTGACCAAAAGTGACAACTTTTTGAACTGTTAACTTCTAAATATGTTTTTTAAATAATTGAGGAAATAATGTACTTATAATTTGGATCTGCATCAACTTACTAAAAACCTTTCATAATGGCTACATTATAATACCCTTAAGGACATATACCATAATTAAACATTTTTCTTAATAATAAATATTCACATTTTCTACAATTTTGTATTAAATTAAAAGAAATGTTTTTGATCTTATTGTGCAGCAGTAGCTTCTGGGGCACCTAAAAGTATCCCCCTATAGAGAAGCTGTTAGGATTCGTTGTCATTTATCAAATGTTTGTTTTCTTCTATTTCTTCTGTATACATATAACACACAATTTCTGTGTGTCATTTATGTTAGATGCTGAGAGCCAGTGTGTGTCAGTGTAACAAATTGTTAAAGTATTTACATTTTCCATTTCCAGTTTTTTGCTAATGCTTAGCATGAGTTTCTATTTCCCACTCTTATTGTCATTAAAAAATTAGCAATTTTTTTCCTCTTAAAGTATTAACATCTCTAGAGAAGCCAGATAACTCTGTTAGTGATAAATATATCTATAAATATATTGAAAAATTTGTTTTAGCCCTATTCAAGGAGAACTTAATCAAGGAGGAAGTAAAATTAGTGTTTTCTCTTAGCATCACCCATTTATATCTGATTTATGGAAATGTCAGAAAGTTCAAATGCCATGTTTTAGCTGTTACTTACCTTTATTATAATCTGCCTTTTGAGATCCAGCACCTTTGTATTTTTTGGTTCCTCTTGACAAACAGAGTCAAAAGTTGTTAAAATCTGAGTCCTGATGCACCAGGTCGTTTCCTTTTCCTAAATTCTAGATGGTTGCATGTTTTAGGGTTTTTAAAAAAATACAAACTTGTTATCTATAATACACTTAAAGATACCTTTAAATATAAAAATAATTTTCTCTGATCACATTGAAAGTACATTTAAAAAAGTTGAGCATCCAATCTTTTCTCTTTTTTCAGATCTTCGATTTTGCAAGCAGAGAGTAAAAAAGACCATGAAGAGGTAAAATTTTTTTTTTTTTTTAAGGTTTACTTACTTATTCATACAGAACTGGGGTACAGGCCAGAGATGCGGAGGGTGAGAGGATTCACCAGAGACGGAGTGGGGAGCAGAACAGGTCAACTGACGAAGTACACTGCTGAGGGGAGCAACGGGTGGGTCAGGAGGGGTCTGCCATGCCATGTGGATCTCCTTCCGGGGCAGATGGGGATCGAACTCATGCGGAAGTAGTTTTAGCTTTTTAGTGCTGTGCTTTAACCCGCTGTGCCACCAGGGAGGGCCCGAAGAGGTAAATTTTATCTGGTTTGTTTCTCCAGTAATATTTTAAAATATTTTTTCTGATTGACAAACACATACCAACGTTGTAATTATAAAAACCTGGAAGGCCCTATTTAATTAAAAATAAATTTTTATAAGTATCATCAAACTATACTCCTAAATTTGTCACAGAATTTTATAGCCGGTCTTATCAGGAGAGACCTTAGAGATCATCTCTGCTGTCTTTTTAAAAGCTGAGATTGAGAAATGACCTTGTGACTATAGCTTTCTGGCAGGCTGTTAGTATCATGAGGTGACAGTTTAATTTATTCCCTTCTCTCGTCATCCCTCTGAGACTGTATTTGTTGCATAAAGAACATAGTGGCAGCAGATGTGGCATGGCAAGAAGCAACTAAAGCTTAAAACTGTGGGGAAATGAAAGGCAGAAAAACAAAAATTTGGGAATGTTTGTTTTTCCTTACAAGCCTTTTATTTTTGGCTCCATTTTTACTTCTAGTATACCAGATATGGAAGGTAAGTAACTACAAAAAGCTAATGCTTCCAAAATTTTGTCTTGAGCAATATTTTTCAATGAAAATATACTATAGGCTGATTGTGTGTCATTTTATCTGGTATTATAATTTTATATATTGGCAAACAACAAGTTTAGAAATTATATAGCGATCTAGCTTTATTTAGTTTATTATTGGAAAAGAATAGGTTTTAAAAACTGTGGTCTGTATTTGTTCACAGACAAGCATCTGCTCTTTGTAAAATTTGCCAAACAATATCAATTTTGTTTAGTGAGTGTCATCAGGTATTAGAATTCTTAAGAGTAAATCCAGAGATGTGGAACAGAGTGTTTTTTTGTTGTTGTTATTTGTAACATTGAAAGAAGGGAAGTATATAGAATAGATTCTCAAAAGTTTATGTAAGTTTTTAATTTCCTTGTAGTGGGATTAATAATAACATCTGAACTTTTTGTGAAGATTAAGGGGGGTAGGTGATACAGAAAGATAAGTATATATAGATTATTAAGTTATAACATATACTGTTTAAAAATATATGTAAAATGTGTATTATAAATGATAAATTTGGTATTAAAAATAAATCTCTTAAATGTTTTATTATACCCTCAAATATGTATATATTCTTATCTATCTAGGAAGTATTTATTTTAGGAGGGAGAATATATGTAATAAGTTTAATGATTAAATTTCTGTTTTAGTTAAATTGTGAATATTGTCTTTTACAACAGCATTGTTGGAAAAAACTGTTAATCAAATTATTCTATTCTCTTCCAGTGGATCTGTACTATAAACAACATATCTAAACAAATATATTTAAGTGAAAATCCAGAGGTAACATTTTATTTTACTGTATCCTAATCTGGCAAAATTAAATAGTTTTGTTGAGTTATATGACCTTCATTAATTAATTTATAACCTCTCAAGTTCTGTAGTTTTTTAAATTTAATATTTCATATAAAACAGTATATAATTAAAAGCATGTAGTGATGACTATAGACTTAAGATATGAGAATGTTAAGATCAATGTGGACTGCAGTTTTAGAAAAAATTCCCTGGAGATAGAAACCTGAGAGGATAGAATTTGTCCATGTTTTGAGGAAAAAGAAGATGTTACAAGTAAGAGAATAAATGTAGAAATGATATGTTTATGAAATCAGTGTAATTGGAGCTGAAAGTTCCTGTTGGAATATAACAGAAAACTGAATTGTGAATATAGATCACCTGGAGATCATATTAAAATGCATATTATATTTGAGTAGTTCAGAGAGAGTGAACTCAGTTTCGCTAAGTATGCTTTGAATGACAGTAGTACCAGGGTATATGAATTTAGCAGGAAGACAAAACCTTAGGTGTTCATACATACAGGTGTTACCAGGTGTAACCCAGTGTTACAGAGAATTCAAAAAGGAACCTTCTAGGTCCATATTGCAGTGTAGTTGGGAAAAGACTTGACCCTAGCACAGTAGCTGTCTGATTTCTGCCAGTTTTGGTGAGCCTGCATGTACTGTGAATTAAGGTGCTTCCCATGACTGTACAGGGTCTGATGATTTCAGTTGAAGCATTGTGGATTAGATGGGAATGTATAGGAAAATGTAGGAGGCTATTTTTATAGTTCAGGAATGAACTGAGGGTCTGAAATGGGTGATAGCTGAAGGAAGAGAAAAATAATCACAGAAAAAGGTAAAAAGAAGTTAAAACTACTTATTAAATAGCTGACTTATGTAAAGGATGAAGGAGTTGAGTTATATAAGACACCTTCTAGTTTTTTTTTGACACCTTCTAGTTTTAACCCCAAGTGAAGAGCTAGCCACTTGGAAAAGAATAGGAGTTCTGTTTTTATCATAATGGCTTTGAGAATTTAGCGAGACACATATGGGTTAGATGCATAGAAAAAAAATTTAAACAAAATCTCATAACGTCCAAAATTTAGTAATTTCTGTTAGTTTTGTAATAACATGCTTTATGAATATAATTTAAGAAATTCAGTCCTAACTGTAGAGAAACCTTTTGCTTTTAGTAACTTGGTCACCTGCCAATCTAACTTTTCTGTTAAGTTACTTGGGAGCAATCAAAAATTAAAATGCAAATGAGATGACTTTTTAATACCTAAGGAGTATATAAAGAATATAATACTTGGATTTGAATAATTCAGGCTTATCCTGATCATGACTTTAAGTTTTAATGAATGTTTTCCAGTTTATCCAGAAATAATAAGAGAAGAAATTTTGATTGAGTTTGTGGAATGCCTTAGAATTTGCTAAATATAAGACTATTTCTGTCTTACACAAGAATGTTTTGTCTATTTTAACATCCATACATTTTATTGATATTTAGCTAGTTTTAAACAAAACAATATAAAAACATTTCTTATAGAAAGCTTTCTTAATTGCCCATTTTTGTCTGAAAATATGCATGATTACTTTATCAGTTAACAAATGTATAAATATTTCTTAGCACAATTATATTCTGGAAAATTATGAAAACTCCAGCAGTGGAATTACACAATTATTTACTATTTTGTGATTTTTCTATTCCTTTAAAACGTTTTTTTCAGTAAATGTATTGAGTGTCCACTATGCAAGACAATATACTAGGTAGTAGCAATGAAATCATTAACCACAAGAATCTGGTAGTTGAAAAATATAAAACATATTGTATATATACTAGTAGAAAAAAAATCAATTTTCTACCCTAGATCTATGGGAAATAAATGGAAACTTAAGTTATAATATTGTGATGTTAATTATGTATTTTAGCATTAGCACAAGAGAATGAAAATGTTAGTAGCTTCAATTTGTATTTTAAGTGTAACTTAAGCACATTCCAACAATTCAGAGTTATGTTCAAACTTTCAGTTTTCTTGCTTTACTAATATTAATGTTTTTTGAAAACAGGAAATTGCTGCACGAGTAAATCAGTCAGCTTTGGAAGCTGTCACTCCCTCTCCATCTTTCCAGCAGAGGCATGAGAGCCTGCGGCCAGCAGGGTGAGTTACCAGACTGTGGGCTATTTAAGAACAGCTTGGGTCATTGAAAGTGATAGTGAACATAGTATGAAATAGTTCCCTGAACAACACAGGAAGTGTATTATCCATTTGGAGTATTTACCAACAAGAATGTTAAATAAAAATATGATTTAAATTTTCCTAGTGTTCAGAGAGAGATGATTTATGTTTTTGAATTTAATAATTGAAAAGAAAGAAATCTTAATTATGTAGCTGTGATTTGTGGGACTGTGTTTATTGAAATTTGTTATACTTATTGATTTAACAAAATTATAGTTTTGTTTGATATACAGAAGAGAAAACTAAATGCAGGGCCTTGTTTTCTTTTATGTTTAGACAGTCTCGGCCACTGACAGCTCGAACCAGCAGTTCGGGATCCTTAGGATCTGAATCTACAAATTTGGCTGCCCTCTCTTTAGACTCTCTTGTTGCCCCAGATACCCCAATACAGTTTGATATTATTTCTCCTGTGTCTGAAGATCAGCCTGGCCAAGCAAAAGCCTCTGGCCAAGGAGGCAGGTGAGTAATGGTATCACATGGATATTGAACTATGGTCTGTAAGGTTTATGATTCCATTTGTATAGATAAGAGTCATCTCTTTTGACATACCTTGTGCTTCAGCAATGTTGATTTCCTGACATAATTTCAATAGTTAGAGAAGAATTATGCAGGATTTTCTCTTTGTTTCCTTTCTCAATTTAGTTTCTAAAATACTTAACTCTGAATTCCTTTAATTTAAAACCTTTTCTAAAAGCAATGTATATACAAGGCTTCTTGAGACTATTTTTTTAAATTCTTGTTTCTATTGAGATTTCTTACATGTGGCGCATGGTAACTAACCACTGGCTCATCATTTTTAAAAACTTTTCAGGCGTACCAATCCTTTTGGAGAATCTGGAGGAGGTACAAAATCTGAAACTGAAGGTAAAACACATGCAGATCAATTTTATATTTAGAAATTCTCAGTAAATTGTGAAGCCTTTGTTTACACTTGTTATGCCCTATGCTTTTTTAATGTTTATTTTATTCCACAATTTTTCTTTTAGCTCATAGTACATTTAAAGTGTCAGAAATTTAATTGCATTTAAGATTTTGTTATTCACTAATAATTATAGACTGTCATACTTATGATAGTCATAGTCTCAATGCATAAAATATTCTTTAAACTTTTTCTAATAGCTGAAGTTTTCTTTTGGTACTGAGATAACTTGTTCTTTTCTTGTACTATCTGTTTTGTTTAATTTCAAGCTTATAGAAGAACTGTAAGAATAGTAAATGGAGTTCTTGTTACTCAGAACCTCCAGTTGTTGAAGCATAATCCTTTGCTGTTTGAATCTGAATCTTTAATTTTCTTCTGTATGATCTCTGTAGTAAGGAATTCTTTCTCAGTACTGCTAATTTAAAACTTTTCTGTAGAAAATTCTAACAGAGGAGTGCATTTTATTATTTATAACTTAGAATATTTAATGTACCTTGTTCTGTTGTAGATTCTATTCTTCATCAGTTATTTATTGTCCGATTCCTTGGTTCTATGGAGGTAAAATCAGATGACAATCCAGATGTTGTTTATGAGACGATGCGCCAAATCTTAGCTGCCCGGGCCATCCATAACATCTTTCGAATGACAGAATCACATTTATTAGTCACTTGTGATTGTTTAAAGTAAGTAGAAACCACTCTCAGGAAAAGTGTAGGAAAAATTATTTACATAATTTCAGCCTAACTAAAATGTGCTTTCTGAATTACTATAGGTTAATTGATCCACAGACTCAAGTTACAAGACTGACGGTAAGTTGTACATTTTAAGAGCTTTATTTTAAGGCTTTCTGCATATGTACACCTTTCATTTTTGTAATAATCCTGATCTTGTATATTCAGAAATGGTAGTATCAATTCTGATTGGTCGTTAGGCTGTTAAAACTAAGTCTATACCCATCTCTTTAAAAAAGTCAAATATTTCACATAACTTAAAGCATCACTGCAATCTGAATAAGTTGTTGTTTGTAGCGAGGGAGAATGTATCATATACTACAGAAATTAACAGTAAGAATTAAAAGGTGAATATGATTGAGCTTACTTTATATTTATTTATGTTGAAATAGCTGCAAGAATGTGTTCCTATTATATCGTTTAATAAGATGAACCATTTTGTTATTAAATTTGTAAAATGATTAATACAACAAATTTAGTATTCAGTAATTCTTATTCCATCTGGCAGTCCCTACCAAAGTAGAGACATTATTTGGTGTTGGTACCATTCTCTTAAGAAGAAAAAATTTTTTCTTTTTTGTTTGATATTTTTTTATAAATTAGCACATGAGTTTGTTATATATAGTAAGGTTATTGTAATGACTTGAATAATCTCATATTTGCTTCTGATGTTTTCTTTGTCAGTTTCCATTACCCAGTGTAGTTCTGTATGCTACACACCAGGAAAATAAAAGGCTTTTTGGATTTGTTCTTCAGACTTCAGGAGGAAGAAGTGAAAGTAACCTGTCCTCAGTCTGCTATATATTTGAATCAAACAATGAGGGGGAAAAGGTACATGACTTTTCAAATGTGTTTGTGTTGTGAAATACATTTTATAGTCAAGATTCTTATTTAAGATTTCTGGAGGGAAAAATCTCCAAACTTTGCCTGGTCCATCTGAGTTTCTTGACCAAAGGCTGTTCCTCTAGAGTAAACTAAACTGATGGGTTGGGCCTTGCAACTCTAATAGACCTGTATCTCTTGATCACTGATAGCTAGTGGAATCTTCTGGTCTCATTAATTTATCCTGGGAATGTAATATATTCCATAAACAACCATTTTCAGATTCTTCAAATGAATACAGCAACAGTAGCTGTTTGCTTCATTTGTTGTACTAATGAAATTTGATATAACAGGAAGTGGGGTATATGAGAAGGTGATATCTGGTAGTAGCAGCTCATAAACTCTGAAGAAAATACATGAAGTCTTGGGTTTTGGGGGCTGGAACATTATTTTTTTAAATTAGGGTAACAGTGGTTTACAAAGTTGTGTTATAGAGGTATGGGATCTACCCCTTTACATGTTATCACACCATATCCGCCAGCAAGCACCCATAGTGCATCACCATAGTCAGTGGAGCTGACTCACCCCCCTCCTCCCCCTATAGATTCAGTTTTTACAGACTTCTAGGGTTTGTTATTAGTTTGGCTTTATTTGATTCTTTATTTCTCTATATTCCACATAGAATGACAGATAAATTTGTCTTTCTCCTCCTGACTTACTTCACTCAACATAGTTCCATCCATGTTGTTCTAAATGGCAAGAGTTTATCTTTTTTAAAAAATGTGTAGTATTTCTTGTGTGTAAATATCACATGTTCATGACCCACTCATCTGTCTTTGGCTACTTAGGTTGTTTCCATAGCTTGGCTATTATAAATAGTGTTGCAATATACATAGATGTGTGTATTCAATTAATATTTTCCTGTTCTTCAGGGAGCTACCTAGGATAGCTAGGTTGTATGGTCAATCTATATTTAATATTTTGAGAAATCACCATACTCTTTTCCAAAGGGTATGGACCAGTCTACATTTCCACCAACTGTATTAGAGTGTTTTTTCCCCCACATCCTCACCAACTCTTTGTTACTGGTCTTTTTAATATTGGCAAGTCTCCTACCTGTGAAATTATAAAGTGGTTTTGATTTACATTTCCCCGATGGTAAGAACAATGAGTGTTTTGTCCATCTGTCTGTCTTCTTTGAAGACATACATTCTTTGCTTTCAGTGCAGCTTCCCAGTGCACTGGATTCACTGTATCAGCTAAGTTTTTGTATCTGCCAATCCCAAGGGATTTAGGTGGGGGAGTCACCTCTTTTCGAGCTTTTGTGTTCTTCACTGGGGTCCATGTCTGCCTTCTTCACCCCAGTACTCTTGCTCAACTCACCTGAAGTTAGACCCACAGCAGATCTCTTTGCCCAACTTCCCCTGGCATGAGTATCAACTCTAGTTTCTATCTGGGTGGATATCTCTCTCCCACTTACCCTCCACTCATGCCTACTGTTGGGTATCCTCATCATCTTTTCTGTCACACGTGGTCAGCACTGGTCTCTGAGGATTGACAGGAACATTCTTACACTGTTTCAAACAAAAGCTGATTTAAGATCGTGAGTTGTAAAACTGATTCCATCAGCCACTTGGAGACTTGATATTTTTCTTTGATGTGAAAACTTCTTGTATTTTTCCTTCTTCACCTTTAGATTTGTGATTCTGTTGGACTGGCAAAACAGATAGCTTTGCATGCAGAACTGGTAAGAATCCAAGAAACTTAATTATCCAAGATTATAAAATAAAGTAATATAAGCTCTTTCATATAGAAGTAAATAATTTCACTAAGCAAGTTTAAAAGTGGATGCTATTGCTGATACAGCCTTGAGAATTTGGATGAAGGGGTAACCTATCATGTATTTGGGTGTATGTGCTTTCTCATGTAAATATAAAAAATAATTTGAAAGAGTTACAAAGATGGTATTATTTGAAAACTATAATTTAAAGTGATTTGATTTTCATCTGTTCTTCAGGATCGTAGGGCATCAGAAAAACAAAAAGAAATAGAGAGAGTAAAAGAGAAGCAACAGAAAGAACTCAGTAAACAGAAACAAATTGAAAAGGTATGTGATCCTAATGTCTGGGCTTTCATGTTATATGAGTTTATGAAGAATTTCTTAGGTTTAGCACTGTGAGTTGCAGATTTGAATTTCCAACTGCAGGTCTGTTTCTCCTTGTTTGGTTACTTCATGACCAGATAATTCATAGCATAGCAGAAAAGCACCACATCTCTCTTCTGACGTTATTTATGTGTAGTTATAGTAACAGATTGTGTGACTTGCTGTTTGTTAAATATACTAGAACTTTTATATTTCCATATTCCAGTGAAGGTTGTCTCCTTCAAAGTAGGTTATTTGCGAAGCTAAATAGACTTAACTGCCATTGCTGAGAGCTGTATTGTTCTCTAGGGTTACTGAAAGACAAGTGATGAATGCAGTTTGGCTATATAAGTGGAGATGAGGGAAGTGCTGCTTTCATAAGACTTCCAAGAATGGTACCATAATTCACATGGTTGCATATGTTGTTGTAGCCTTTCTTTTCAGTAAGTTGTCAGAATATGCATACACATATATAACACATACATATATATGACAGAAGCACTGAAGTAGCTCTCAGGTATGTATTTTAACTGCACAGCTTTCTATTTTATTTCCAACAGTTAACTTAGTTTCTTTTCTGTCTTTTCCACTAGGACTTAGAAGAACAAAGTCGGTTGATAGCAGCTTCCAGTAGACCAAACCAAGCCAGTAGTGAGGGGCAGTTTGTTATCCTTAGCAGTAGCCAGTCCGAAGAGAGTGATTTGGGGGAAGAAGGAAAGAAGAGAGAGTCAGAAGCATAAACTTCTTGCATTTTGGTTAATATACCCCCCCCTTGGAATTTATTGACAATTTCTGTGGTGAAATGGCACAAGGTAACAACTATGTTGAAATATCAAGGAGGAGACTAAAGTGTATGTTTGTTTTAGCTTCATTTTTTTAAAGTAAGATTGACCTTGATGACTTAGGTTTGCGTTATTTTTCCTTAAAAATAATGTACTATGCAGTAACATCAAATTATACATGTCTAAGAGAAACCTGTTGCTCTTCCTGATGTAGATTGCTAAGGAATTACACACTGGCTTTTTTCCTTTAATTGTGAATTTATCTTGCATTGTAATTGGCTATGACCAATAAGAAATCATTTATTCAGCTTAAGGTAATTCATGGTTATGCTTCCTCTCTTTCACTAGAAACATTTTGCTGGCTGTGAGGAAATTTTCAATTGCACATGTTCAAAATCCTTTATACAGAGAATTCTACAAGTTTGCAAATATTTTAACAATATTAAATGTGCAATAGAACTTTTATAAAATAGAGATTTTAAACTTAAGATTTCAAATTGTGGCAGATAGTATTGGTGACATCAGGGCATTTTCTTGGAGCGCTCACATTTTTCTGATGTTCTACACCTGATTCTGGTGGGAAAGAAGCTTAAGTGTCTTCAGGAAAGAAGCTTAAGTGTCTTCAGTTCAAGATTGATACAGTGCTTGGTTCTATTATCATGTTCTTAGTTCTCAGGTTGGGACTTGAATTATTGCTGCAGAGCAGTAATGGTTAAAATAAGATTTTGGAACTTATTAAAAGGGATTTTCTTTTTTTTTTTTGCTCAAATACATTTTACATCAGGACTTAACATGTAAAGATATTGTTACAGGATACTCATTGTATCTTCTTCATTGTGTGAAATAATTCTTATTGGAAATCAAGTGACGTTTCAAAAGTTCTAAGCAGTTATGTTTCCAGGTTGAACTAAAAATTTCCAGAGTTTAGTTTAGAAAATATAATCTTTTATTAAATTTCAGACTGATATTCCCAATATTTTCATAATCCCATGTTTTGATAAAATACTGATCACTTCTTTATATCCATGAAAGCAAGTATCTGATAATAGCAGAATAATTTGCACTAATCACTGTAAATATTGAATAAAAGGTCTAATTCCATGAAAGAGTTAAAAGAAATTAAATGCTTGTTATAGGAGAATTGACCAAGGAAGGAATATTTTAGCTTGTTGCCAAGGGTAAAGTAATATTTCTTTATTGTCTATGTCAAAAATTCATTTTTTTCTTTCTTGAGATCTTTAACACTGCTGATAGAAATTATGTTCCTATGTTTCACATGTGAAAGTATATAGACAAATTAAATATATTGGGTAAAACATTTTACAGTCATGCATTAAAAATTTTCAAGAGATTAGCCACTAATTTTATAAGGAAAAATTCTTTTTTTCCTTTGACATACAGTTTTTCTTTCTTAATTCTGAACTAGAAACAGCATTTGTTTTATTTCTCACAATATTGTGGGCTGTGTCATACTGTGCATATACTGTTTTCTGTAGGAATGGGATAATTATATACAGAATCATGATATTCTTTTTATCCATGTGCCAAGTGGGAATCATGATTACTTGATAATCATGAAAATATGAAGCCTTATATTATGAAAACATGTAGTAAAAAATATAAATTTATGAAATACTTTTTGAAAAAAAAGTTTGCTTTGTCCTTATGAAAGGGAATACTTTCAGAATAGTTAGCATATCATTCCTTTTTTAGAAGTTGAAATTTCTTTTGTAGTCAGTACTTCATTAATAATGGCAAGACCTGCTTTTTAAAGACCTTTTTGAGAATTAGTAAACTTTCAGAGTAAACTTTTAAGTTTCATTAAACCTTCTGTTTATATTATTAAGTTGTTACCTCAGTTCAGATGAAAATTATCATCCTACAGGCATTAGGAAGAACTTTTACTAGACTGGTGCTTTGTGTGATAGTGAAGAACTGTTCGCTGATAGTACTCTGGATTAAAGTATAGGCAAGTTAAGGGTACTGGCAGACTTAGGAAATCTGGATAGAGGTATAGTTCTCTTTACATCATTTTTATAGAAGTTTCTACCCCCATATCTGTAGGTCAGCCTAAAAGTGCATTCCAATACCAAGTAGTAGTATTGTGTGGGTTTTACAATTTTAGATGATTGCATTACTTCTGTTACTATAAAACTATATTAACTATCCATTACTGAAGAGATCACCTTCAATAAACTCTTCTTTTTGTTTAAAGAAGGCTGCTCAAGGTTTTCTGCATAATGTTAAAACTTTTTTTTGTTATCCCATCTAGCTCTGGGATTCTTTGATGGTGACTGAGTTAGATTTTGCGATATATTTCTCAGATTCAAATTTAATAGTTTTTATAAATTAATAAAACTGATTCCTTAAAGGGAAAAAATATTGAGCATGTAACTCTGATATACACTCCAATACATGCATAAGTACTTTGTGACTATGATAATGATTATGGTAATGAAGTCAATAGAAGGAATTCTCTTCTCCCTTTAAAATTTTGAAAACGTGCTAACAAAGGACTGAAAATGTTACCTTGAACAGAGTCCCCAGAACTAGTCTAGTTTTATCATGCCTACAAGATTATTTCATGTTTAATTTCAGAAGACATTTCAGATTCACATGTAAGGTTGATAAGTGTATGTTACATTTATGCTTGAGAAAAGGACAGTAGGTTATACACAGCATTCTATGCAACATATAAAGGCATCTGAGTTAATTTTAAAAACTGAGTTATATATAAAAAGTACTGCAAAGCTCTGCCACCTGAATTAATAAAGATGTTAATGTTGCTTTTGATAATTTTATAGCATTTAGATTCTAAAGACTCAGCACCCTAATTTTTGTAGCAAGCACAGCTTTCATTTTATTTTTAAGAAGTTCGGCTTACTCTTCTTTTCATGAAATTTCATTCTTCTACATTAACTAATACATAAAGATTTGAAACTGGAACTATTATTATATTTTCTAACCAAATCTCTTGTGGCTGTATTCATATGTAATCCAGATAATATGAGAATTGGAGGTTAAGTTATAATTAATGTGCAAAACTGTTTTGTATATTTAGTGACTTTGTAATGCAAGTGAATTGATTCTTATTTCACTGATACTAATTAATCATGCAGTATACAATTAATACTTAATTCCCCTTTAGAATTGGATTTGAAGAATTCAACTTTAAATGATGGTGGTATATGTTGGGGTGGAGAACTTACCTTTTCGCTTGTCAAAATAAATGTTCTCTAACAAAGCTTCAGGAAATAAGCTGTTAGGAGATTTTTAATGTATAATAAAGTCCATGATTTTTGTATAGTCTATTTTTATGAAATATTTGATATACTCAATTTTCTTTGTCCAAGTAATTTCAAACAATGCTTATAAAACAATTGGACATTTTCCTAATCTGTTATGATACTATAGTATTGCGATGCAATTTCATAAGTTAAAATGGAACTTGCCACTGCTAGAAATTAATACAGCTACATCACTAGTCATTTTTTTTCTTTTAGAAAAATAGAGATTTTACATTAATTACCTTAGACATATTATAGGCAGTATGTACTGTGTTTGACTATTATAACAACCTATTCTATGTTTGGTCTTACGCAAAGAAATTCCTATAATTTAAAGGAGCAATTTATTGTGTACACCAACTTAAGGAGGTTTAGCCTATATAATAATATGTATTCACCCCATGTGCTTTATATAGCTTGCTGTAACACCAAGTTCTTTTCCTCTGGGAATTTTTGTCTTAATTCATTTTTGAATTTTATAAAATGTATACACTTTTAGAAGTTCCGGAGCGTGTATGAAATTAATTTTAGAATTATATAACATACAAATGCATGTATATCTTAGATATACGTATATTGACGTACATATTACCCATGACTCATAAACAGATACAATTTAATTAAAAAACAAAACTATTCATGCTAGTTAGTTTTACAAATTTCTGTGTATAAACAATCATTAAAAATAATTTTAAGTTTGTGTTTACTGAAGTAGTCGGTACAGCTATGAATTCCTATGCCAGAAAGAAATCCTATAACTTCATTTCCCCTAAGATGTACTAAATTATGCTAAAAAAAAGTATATGCTAAGACTAAACATAGATACCAAGATAATAACTAACTGGGTCTATGGTAAAAATGGACTCTAATCCTACCTCGCTTTTCCCTTTGCTGATGTGCTGTCAAAATCGCTGCACAGATGTGGCTGAATGTCTTCTCAGTTTTTTTCTTCCTTTCCACATAAAGAAATTTGTACTTATATCCAGCATAAAATATATAGAAATAAAAATTTAAACTAATATCCTATAATTGCTTCTATCCAGTGAGCTCTCCTGTTTATCCAGTAGAATAGGTTTGGTACATAAACCATAAGTCATTTGAAAACACTTTTAATTTCTATACCAGTGATCACATTAACTTAAGCTAGGGTTTTGTGGAGAGAAGGGACATGTTTCCCACTAATGATGAAATTGCAGTTGATTCTATTTCAATTAACTGAATTTCCCCAGAACTCTGGGGAACCTGACTCTGCAAGTAAACAGAATCAATGCTAGCCTTGGGGCTGTGATACAAGAACAGCTAACTTCTAGATTAGTTACTGGGTTCAGTATTTCATTCCATGCAATCACCAAGACATTTGTAGCAAGCAAAGCTTTCATTTTATTTTACTATTATGAATGATATTTATTAGTAGAGGTGTTATCTGTTTGAGAATGCAGAAATGTGTATTTATTCACCTAATGTCAACTCAATACAGAGAACTGACACAGTTCAGTTCATTGGAATTTTTACTGTTATCCATGAGAAGCTGTTCTACTCAGAGTGACTTTAAAGAACATAAAATACATTGGGATTTCAGTTGCTAGGTAAAGTGAGAAATAAGAATCCTATATAATAATTTACATTTTAAGAAACACAGTGGTGGAATTATTACCTTCTTATCCAAAATAGCCTTATTACCAGGTTCCTGTGAAAATTCCTTGTCCATACAGGTCATATTCTTTGTAAAGTATATACTCTTTTAGACGGTTGGGTAGTGGGAGAAATGACATGAAGATGGGGCAGCGCAAATGTAAACGTCCCATACACTTCCGGATCTTTAGGCGACACAAATGTTTTAAGGAGCGAGGGTTTGCTAAAATGAAAGAAACAGATACATTCTCCAAAAGGAAAAGAAAATATTTTGTTTTTTAAATAATCTTAGGCTTAAGATCATGCTACTTTATTTATTTATTTATTTATTTATTTTTAAGATCATGCTATTTTATTTTTAAGCCACCAAAATTTTCATTTGCTGTGATGAAGTGGAAAATTTGATGGGGAAATAGCTTTTCACTTCTCATCACAACCTTTTTTGTAGATAAGTACGCAGAGCCACTTCAAGAATCCAAATACTGGTATCAATTATGGGTTTGGCCTGTGCAATCTAAATTCTTTAAATCTACACATAAAACTCCCTTTCATGCCTCCTATGTTAGGCTAAAAAATAAAGGGAAAATTAGGTGAAAGAAATTATACCATGAAAAAATTTCTTTTGTAGGATCATTTACCTTCTGCAGGCCTAGATTTTGGCTTCATCTCCTTCCTGTTTTATTGCCATTGTATAGTTTTGTTCGTTTGCTTGTTTTTACCAGAAAGTGGAATGTTTTTATTCAGGTACCCCTTGATTTATAGCTCAAATTCACTATTTATAGTGCTATGACTTTGAACAAGTTATTTACTTATATGAATCTATTTTTATATATAAAAACAAGATTAATATTACTTACCTGATCATTTTATTATAAAGATAAAGCAAAGCCATGTACAACTAAGTGCTTTGCATGCCTAGCAGTTGATAAACATTTTTTTAAAAATAAGATAATAGTGCCATTGTATAGCTTTTAATTCCTCTATCTACAGTTGTCCATAGGCTTAGAAAGTTACTACCTATCTATATATTAATAAGTAGTAACCTACTATGAAGTGGTAGTAAATATAAATTAAGTGTACTTAATAATATTCCTTAGATAAGAATAGGATTTTCCTTGGTTTCTTTAGGCTACCAGAAGGGAAGAATGTTCTATAAAATAAAAGTAAGACTACAGTGACAATTTTGGGTAAGAACATTTATACAAGAAAGATACTCACTCAAAATAAAGTGGATTTCTGACCAGAGCCCCTGTTTTTGGAGCACAGCTTTTAACTTTGAGCAGATTTGAACTTGATCAACATAATCAAGCATCACTCGGACAACCTTTCCAGAGAGATGTTGCAGCCATGACAAAGTTATTACTTCACAGAACTGAGGAAGAAAATCAGAACTATGAGTGCAAATAACAAATTAACTATGGTTTAGCATTGTGATCAAAAGAGCACTGACCTCAGAGTTAGGAGGCAAGATACTAAGTCTCCAAGCCTTTGAACAAGAAAATATTTCTTAGCTCTTAGCATTTGAAGTATACTGTGTCTTCAGAACTATATACCATAATGAGAGTGTGAAAGAGACTTAGTTACCCCCTATAGTTATACCTGTTATCTCCCTTTAGTTGACCATATAATTGTTTGGAACAAACAAGCTGTTTTTGCAGCTTCACTTGTACCTAAATGTGCGCCACCTGACTATGAGTAGGTTTTACCCAATGAGATGACAGCAAAAGAAGCCATCTTATTAAAGACACTTTTATTTTGGGTTTTCTGTCATCCATAATCTCTCACCCTGATATTTGAGGGATATGCTAGCTTTTGCCTCTTAGGTAATTTATATTCACTTAGATGATGCTCATGTAAGAAGTCAAGTAAAGCTATATACAGGGGTTGTGAGAGGCTTCACCAGAGACAGTGGAGAGCAGAACAGGCAGACTGATGAAGTACACTGCCTGGGAGAGCAGTGGGCAGGTCAGGAGAGGTCTGCCACACCATGTGCATCACTTCTGGGGCAGAGGATCCAACTTGCACTGACACGGCTGCAGCTGGCTTGCAGTGCTGTGCTTTAAGGCTCTGTGCCACCAGGGAGGACCAGAAAGGCATCTTTAAGGAAGTAATATTTGAGACTGCCAAATAACTGCCAGGAAAAGTTCATGTTGGGGAAAATGGAAATATCTGATAAGGTAGGTGAAAATAAGAGATTGGTATGATGAAAACCAAGAGAAAAATGTCTCAAGAAAGAAGGTCTGGCCAACTATTGTGATTCTTTCCTCATCAGAAGGGTGACCAAAGGACTAGTCATGTTGGCACTAAAAGAAATAAAACCTAGGAGTATGGGTATCAGGAAACCCAGAATCATCTTGGATAACTCATTTAAAAAAATTACTGTGTGTAAAACTATTCTTCAAAATCTTGCTCAGATGTGTGTTTTATTTGTGAAAATTCCTGGGTTTGTTTAGAACAGGTAGTATTAAATCACTTTTTCCTCGTATTTCTGTACTTCTCTGTGTTTACCTTATATATTGAAACCATTCCAGCTATGAGCTTCTAGAGTGAAAGGATGGAGACTTAGACTGTTGTAGTTTAGGACCACCAATAACAAAAGTAATAAATAGGCACCACTAAAGTGATACATCAATACTGTGGACTCACCATAGTATCTTTAATAACTGTAGACGTCCAACCTTCAAAAGCATAAAAAGGGTGAACTTTATCTCCATGAGGGCAATCAAAGCATCGCTCTGTGTCATACCCATAATTCAACAGCATCCTGAGGATGACTTCATCTTTCAGAGAGTATTGCAGTGCTGATGGGAAATGTAAAGGATTGACTCTGCAGAAGTAATTGACGTTAGCCCCATGTCGTAGCAGCATACTGATCAGTTCGTAGTTGCCCATCCTTAGGGCTATCTGGAGGCAATTAACTGGGTCTTGATTAGGCAGAGCTCCAGCATTTAGAAGCAGCTTGACTGAAGATAAGTCAGCATTTGAAACAGCAAAATACAAAGCTGATTTCCTGTGGTCATCATAGTGTTTGCGAATTCTCTGATCTAGCATGAAATTCACGTCAAACCCAGCATTAATGAGCAGTTCCAGGCACTGAGGGTGTGCTCCTGCTGCTGCACAGTGAACTGGACTGATGCCACTCTGTTTAATGGCAGCAAAATCCGTAATTGGAACTAAAATCTTCAGAGCTCTGAGAAGTTCAAAATGCATTTAAAAATAATTTTTAGGAAGATGTAACATTAATCTGTGACTGTTTTACATTAGCACTGGATGGTATTAGTATCAGGTGTTATTTAGGACCCCTAACTAAAAGTATAATTTCTGTATCCAAAAGCTCAAGCACTCAGTAAAGTTAAATAAAGCTACTGTCTAGATTATACAACTCAGAATTAACTAGTTGAGATCTGAAGGTTCCCACATTTACTAAAGACTTCATAATAGTTTTATGTCTCTTCATTGGCAACAGAACATGTGATTGTACTATTGTCTAGCTGGTCAAATGTTTCTTATTTTCGAAAGTGGTGTTGGAGTTGTAGCATCAGAAACACTTTTTCAGAGGCTGCTCCAACAACAAAAAAGAGTAGCTTTTACCATCTCTTTTATTTGCAATTTTTAATTGGACTTACAACAAGTGGCCTCTGTCAGCTGCCACATGAATGGGCAGGTGGCCTGAATTCTTGGGGATGTTGGCATCAGCTCCATACTCTAGTAACAAAGTCACAGAGTCTGGATTTCCTCCTCTAGCAGCTTCAAGTAAGATGGAAGATGAGTCAGAAGCCTGACCAAGAGCATTGGCTCCTAAGAAAAAAAAATCTTGTTATAAAACTTGTTTCCATTGTATTGTTTAAGCACTCAATATATTACCATCAGCAAAAACCAATTAAATAGCCATTTTAGCAAAGCACTAAGAACCAAATAAATAAAATGTTCCTCTGATCTTACGCAGTTTTAATCTAGTTGGAAGGGGAAAATGAAGCAAGCATTCTCTCTACGTTGTAAGTAGGCTGACATATAGAGTAATCAGTTATTTGAAGCTTGAAAATTCCAGGAGAAAAAAAACTGTGTTGCTACTTGTACCATACAGAGTGATAAAATAATGTGATTTAGAATCAGATGTAGGTTTAAATCTTGGCTCTGCCATTTACCATCTTACTTTTTGCAAATTAATTTTAAGAGGATAACCAAAGGGAAGTGCTCACTCCACTGAGGTCAAGCAGTGTGATTTCTTTGAAGGTTTAAGGATTTAAAGTTTGTTGCCCCTCCTCTTTATATTTTAATCAGTTGTCTATATGAAAGATTACTTTTTTTTTCAAATATGAAGGATCCAGAGTTTATTTTTATTATTGCAGTTAATGACTTTAGACATATCTGGGATTGCTAAGTTAAAGCATCTTATTTTAAAGGGTCTTATGGCCATTGGAAATTTGTCTTCCTTATATGACAGGAAAGATTTAGGTAAGTCTAAGAAAACCTAAAGTTGTTCATAAAGAGAGGAGCCCCTGCAGCCTAAAATACCTGAAGACTAGGACCATGATTGTTAAAGAAATGACTTCTGCACACAAATTATCTAAAAAAGATCATTCTAATATTAGAACATTATTAAATTTTGGTAGAAAAATTTAGGTAATATATTGTTTTACCTGACAGTATCAGTAATGGAGTCACCTCAAAAACAATAAATTAGTAAATGTTAAAGTTATTAGAGACAGGGTTTCGGCCAGTTAAATCAGGATCTGAAATGGCCACAGGTACAGATGGCAGAAGAAGGCATGGTTTAGGGGAAGTCCTGCAACCAGCACCATCTCAGACTCTCCCTTTCCTAAAGTAAAAAAATGCCTACACAGGGTGTTGTTTAGAAGATTCCATGAGGCAGCATAGGTAACCTACTGCCTGATCCTTAGGGAGTGCTCAGCAAATATAAAATTACTTTCCCCTTATCTCAGAGTTTTTATTATTACCAGAGGAAAAGAAGTGGGACTCAGAGAAGAATTTCCTAAGATTGGATTGCTTCATGACTTAGCTTTAGCAGAAACATGTGGAGGGATATTGTAGGCTTTTAGATGCCATGAAGCTTGAAAAGTACAACACAAAAATACTTAAGAAATTACCATCCTCTTGGTATAACCTGTATCCCTGTAAGTGTAAGGGAATTATTTCATACCAGATAGGAATTCAATCTCTTTTATTTTAGGCTTTTCAGTAGGCAACATTAAGACATTAAACATTTATATTAGGCCTATGTAAAATTTAGATTCTATTTCGAAGAACTCCATGCAGTGGGGAGTGCTTGGATTAGGTTACCCTTAGGTAGTGTGCTGACTGTATAGAACATGCCTTTCTGTAGTAGTATTTCCATGACTTCAGTATGTCCACTTTGGGCTGCAAGAGCAAGAGGAGTAAATCCATAGGAGCTTTGTGGATCAGGATGTGCACCAGAAACCAGCAGAAGTTTCACCATGTCTTGTCTGCCCAGCTTGGCTGCTTCATGGAGAGCTGTCCTCTCATTGGCACACCGCAGGTTGACATCTGCCCCATGGCTGATCAGCAAGGCAGCCATGTCATAAGAGTCATGGAAAACAGCTGGGAAATTAGAGGTGAAGTGGACATTATGTTCAACAGGGTTAAAGCCAGAGTTCTTATGAACTAGTCTCCCTCAGATTTCCCAAAGAGCGCCTCTGAACCCTCCCTGCCTACATGTAGAGGCATTTAGTGTCTAGGAAATAGACTGTAAAGTGAGACATACCAAATATTAATAGTGCTTTCTATTAATAGGTAATTTACTTTCTTTTGGTAAGCCATGACCAATTGTCCATTGTCTATTCACTGGGGCTGAAAAACATTAAACATGACATTTTCATTTGTCATCTTTATTTTCTCAAAAAAAAAAAGAGAGCTTAAGTACCTAGGACAATTCTGGAATTGCTTGTAACTGCTTTAAATGAACAAAAATAAAACCAGTAACAATTAGGCAGTTACTTTTAATTTCACATTTTGTTAACCAAAATTCACTAATTGATTTTCCTGTATTTATACTCTAATTCACATCTGGATGATAGTCTTTAGTCTTCAAGTTCCTAAAACACCTAAATTTCCTCTCCTCTCTATCTATTTGCTAATTATTGACAGTATGAGGTATTTTGTTGGGTGCCAGAGCACTAAACAGTGTGAATTTTGTTCATAACTATGTGTAATGTATGGTAGAAAGTGCACTAACTGCTCTAAGAATGGCTGTATAGAGTGTCAAGGGTGTTGTGTCTTTTTTGGTTCACTATACTTGCACTTTCTTTGTTTAGGAAATGCTTCCTTTGACTTATTTCCTTGATAATACATTGCCTCCATCTTTTCTCTAGCATTCTTATTATTCACATGCTTCTCTGGAATCTCCCTTCTAGTTTTCTTATTTATCTTTCCTAGTTTCCATTTCTTCCTCTTCTGCAACTTTCTTCACTTTACCTTCCAGCATTTGTTTTGCAATTGTTATTTTTGCTGTTATAGCTTTTATTTTCAAGAGCATTTTGGTCTTGATTTTTAGGGTAATATCTTGTTATATTATTAATTTCTTTAGACAAATTAAATATACTTTTCCCTTAACATTTATCATAGCTAAGTAACCTTTCTCCCAAGTTGCTTATCTCTCTTTGTTGAAAACTTCCTTCAGATGTCCTCATGATTAAGAGGTGAGGACTAAAAAAACTGATTGAAAATTCTAACAGGTTGATGTGCCTAGGTCATTTGTTCAGAACCCCCATTCTCACTGTAGTTCTTTCTTCTCTGGCTAATTAATTTTTCTACAGAAGCCTCTTTTTAGAGGGTAAAGTTCTAGCTGCTAACTTCTTAGGAGCCTGATGAAGGAGGAGGGCTGGGAAGCTTTAGTTTGTTTGTTTAATTCTGTCAGAATTTTTATTCCAGTATACTTGCCTTGCTCTAATATTCCCTAGTCCAATGAGCCTGTTTTACAATATCCAGACAATAAACCTCCAGAATTCTGCTGGGGTGGGAGAGGAGTTCAGTAGGACAGAGTAGAAGAAGACATCTAGGATTTACTTCTTAGTAGTTTCCAACTAATTCACCTATTCTAGCTGCCTGTCTTTTATCATGCTCTATAAGGTAACTATTAATACTATCAACAATGTCAGCTTTCTCGACAATCATGCTAGTTCTTGACTTTTCCCATTATCAGTTTAAAGTTTGGCTTTCCTGTCCCATCATATGGTTTTTAAAAATCATACTGCTATTGTTTACCCTACTGCTCTACCCATTCCTTTGTAACTTACTCCTTTAAAACAATAGTTAATTAGGCCCTCCCTGGTGGCGCAGCGGGTTAAAGCACTGCACTGAGAAGCTTAAGCCACTTCCGCATGAGTTCGATCCCCGCCTGCCCCGGAGGTGACCACATGGCGTGGCAGACCTCTCCTGACCCGCCCGCTGCTCCCCTCAGCAGTGTACTTCGTCGATCTGCCTGTTCTGCTCCCCACTCTGTCTCTGGTGAATCCTCTCACCCTCCGCATCTCTGACCTGTACCCCAGTTCTGTACGAATAAATAAATAAATATTTAAAAAAAAAACAATAGTTAATTAAAATTTTAGTGAAGATTCAAAATTTGTTAGGGAGCAAAATTAGTTACTGGTATTCAATCTGGTATCTTTGCCCAGCAATGGGCAGCTTTTTCTAACTCTGCTCCCCTATTATATTTCTTAAACCAGAATTACTGGTTCAATTAAGATACCATGTATACTCCCGATTTGGCAGAGATTTTACAAGTGATTATATACACATAAGACACTATTTTATAGGAAACTTCATGTTTGGTCAGCTGGGGCCAGAGTGACAGTTTTGCAACAATGGGCAAAAAACTGACTTTGATATCTGTGGCCATTGAAGAGATCAGAGCCATAGAATCTTCCCAAATAAAGTGTTTACCTGTAAGAAGAGGAGAACTGCCTTCAAAATTCTTGGCATTTGGATTGCAGCCATTGAGAAGAAGAAAACTTGCATTTTCTAAAAGACAGTTGCTAACAGCCAAAAAAAGTGGTGTCTCACCATTATGGGTGGTTTGCTCGCATGCACTGGGTTTTGAAGCTGAAATAAATCCATTAGGCCACACAGGTGATGATATAGCAATAAAATTTAAATTTATTTCTCAGAAGAATCTAGAAGAATTTACCTTTCAGGGTTATTTCCAAAATGTTCTTATTTAAATGTACTGCAGCCTTATGCAAAGGAAGCCAGCCTATCTCATCTGCTTCATCAAAAGCAGAATAGTATCTGGTCAATTGTGACAGTGTTTCTTCCTCACCTATTAATAAGTCAAGAGAAGAGATTCACATTTTGCGCACATACAAGGCAGCCCATGCTACTTCTGAATTGCACTATCAAGATCAGTTCAGGAGACAACAGAATTCTAGCACCACTTTTTATGAAAGGCAAATTTAAAATGCATTGGACAAATAAGAAATAAGCCTTTCATCTAGTATTCCATACCATCTACACTGTGAATATGCATCTTTCTGTCACTTATAGAAAAAATGGTCAGTCAGTCCACAGAGGAGCCAGGAAATCTTTACTAAGTTGAGTTGAATTATTTTCTCCCAAAAAAACCACTTCAGATTTGACAATGAGCTCTGAATTCCCAGTGTTCCCCATTTGGGAGAATCTGCTTCTAGGCTTCTTGAACTTCAAGGGGAAAATGCTGCCATTTAACAACATCTCATCTTAACCACAGTTGAAGAGGATAGAATAGGAAGAGTACTTAACTGTCTTTATTGCTCCAACTATCTTCTTACAGTCAGCACTCAAGAAGGGATGCAAGCTACATAGAAAATATACGTATATGTAATTTAAAAACAGCATTTTTTATTAAAAAAGGAAAGAATCAAGGCAATGGTAATGAGTTAATCAAGAATGAACTCTCATATATGAGTCAGTGACTGAGGAAAAACAGAAATACTTCTAAAATTAGTGTGGCCCTCACCTTGTTCTCCCACATCTGTCCTCCTCATTACAGTCTGAACCACAGTAAGCCCTAAACTGCTGAACTGAATAAAACCTACCTAGGATGGACTGTCAAATTATCACATGGTAAAATTAATGGCCACTTTATTATGTTAATGATTCTAATGAAAATTATTTTAAAAGGTAATAATCATGGTTTAAGTTTTAAAAATATTAATGGTTAGATTTTATATCAGAAAATGCTATCAGCAACTTTTTTAAGTAGCATTTTAAAAAAGTTAAAAACAGTTTTAAAGTTCAATTTATGAATGTGATTTTTAAATCTAGTAAATAGAATTGTAATATTCCCATTTTCTTTGATTATTACTTGTATACAAATTGAAGAGAATAAATTCCCTCAGGTAATTTGTCCTGCTCAACAATTTGGCCAGTTAATTTCTCTGAAACATTTAATACTTAACAGGTTTAATGTTTTAGATTTCTATTCTTGGCCAAAGACATCACACGTTTAGTGGCTTCAAATAACACTTATTGTAGTTCTGCATTTCAGAAATAGAAAATAGGGCTCACAGGGTTAAGAAAGGTGTTGTCAGGAGTGTTCCTTCTAGAGCCCCTAAAGGAGAATCCATTTCTTTTAAGACTCTACATACCTCTCACATCTTCAAAGCCTGTGATGTTGAGCCATGTTTCTACACTGCCTTCTCTCCGTTTCTCTTCTGCTTCTCTTCCATTTTGAGGGCCACTGTAATTACATTGGCTCCCCCTGGATAATCCTATCTTAATGACAACTGGCTAACAACTTTAATGCAATCTTCACTCTTAATTTGCCATTGCCACACAAGATTACATATTCACAGGTTCTGGGGAATGGGACATGGGCATCTTTTTTAGATAACTCATGGGGGCATTTTTCCACCTGTCAAGCGTATATTCAAGTTTCCTGATTCTTTCAAACTCCTGACCAAATCAGTAAGCCTTCCTAAGTATCATATCATTCTTACAATAATAAATAAAATGTATAACAACTTTCAATTTGTTTAATGAATTTCGATACTCATCAGTCCTTCCAACCTAAAACTTAAAAATTTTGAGTCACAAGGTTAATGATCCAGTAAATGCAATTTCTTTATAAAACTTTAACTAAGGTTTATTTTAAATATTAATAATAAAGTTAACACATAAGTACAGGAGGAGTGTGGTAAAGATCACAGCCCTAAAGTCAAGTTACCTGGGTCTTTGCTAACCAGCCCTATGACCTTGAGTAAGTTATTTAAATTCTCTGTACCTTAGTCTCTTCATTTCTAAATAGAGATAATAATAGTATTCTCCAAGTATAGAGATAATGAGAATTAGAATTTAAATGGATTACTATTTATGAAATACTTATAATAGTGTGGCACACAGTGATCATGATTTTGTTACTTAAAAATATATGTCTGATGTACTTCATTATCTCTATATTTACTTATAAAATCTCTTGGGGTTAAGTCACATTTATCCAGTTTTACCCTCAGCAAGTAAATGAAGGTCACCATCCCAAACAAATAAGATTGAACACCCCAGAAAAAAAAACAGGAGCTACTGAGGAGGCCCAGCCTCCTGAGCTTCCACATCATCCAGAGAACAGCTGATGACGTGCACTTGGATGCAGGCTACCCATATTCAGAGTGAATCTCTGACATCATAACAGCTCAGAATCCACACCCTTAAGAAGGGTTGCTTGCTGCTGAGTTTTAGTTTATATTATTCCTCCTTTTGATTTGAGTAAAGACTGGATCCCACACAGCTATTTCACTAAAGATGAAGATAACTTTTTATGTCTCTTGGTTGGAATTATGCATTTCCTTACCTCCCCAAAGAGGATACTTTAGAGTTTTCTAGCCCTATAGTTCCTCATGTATTTTTTTCTGATTTCTAGTCTGCATCTTTTCACACAAATTTGCTGTTAACTTCTTCAATTCTGAAGGAATTGAATAATTTCTAAATTTTACTGACTGGTTAGGCATTAATCTCATAGATTTTCAAATGAACAGAGCTCCTTAGATTCTGACCCTTTTCTCTACTTTTATCACAATGTTAGAGTAGTACTATGGATAATAAGGAAACTATTACCTCTCATCTTCAGATGGCTGCTGTGCAGTCCCTGGCTTGTAAATATCCTGTAAACTCTGTTGAATGATGAGCTGGGTATCAAAGTCATCATCTATGTCATCATCACTGATGTAATTATCCATGTGAAACTCAGACAGATTTACTTTAAAATCAGAATGAATTAAAATATTTTTCACTTGAGAAAATAGATTTATCAACTACTTAAAGTTATACATAAATTCAGAAAAGCACAAAATAGTATTGATAAATGAAGAAAATGCAAAATTTAGGAAACAGAAAATTTTCACAAACTTAAAAGTGTTCTAAATTGTCACAGGTTCAACGTTAGAAGTCTCCATGAATAGTCATGTAAAGATTATTCATGAAAAAATTACCTTTCTTATAAGACTTAGATCAGTGCCATTTTAACTATGAAACGTTCATAGTGATCTACTTTAGATTTGAAGGGTTTTTTTCAGTAAATATAGCTCTCACCCCAAAGAACATCTTTTTTCCCCACAATGAGTATCCTGCTGAAAATATTTAGTTAATATTATAAGCATATGTGTTATAGGAATAAATGTACTATCATTAACATAACGTATAACAGGAATAGTGGTAGTAAAGTCAATATATTTTATTAGGCATATTTTAATGGGCTTAAAAGAACATTTAAGTTTTAACATAGAGTAGTTTTGAGCGCATACCAAAAACATTTTACCTTTTGTTATATCCTTTAGGACAGCACCGAAGTTTTCACTGTTAGAAATTAGCACCTCAGAATTTCATTTATATTTAGGCTCTTCAGTCTTCTGCAATGACCATTCCATTAATAGCTTTACTATAAATACTTGTATCATAAGACAGTCTGACACATACTCCTGTTTTTAACATGTGGTTTAGCTCTGTTAGCTATGTTCTCTTTTCTTCATTTCTATACTCATTAAATATAAAGGATTAAATATTTTACCCCTGGAATAAAATATTTTTGCATGGGGGTGGCAATGGGAAGCGAATTCATTTTCCTAAGTCTCATGGACTGCAAACCAGAATCAGTTTTCCACTCGAGAGGGCAAACATTTTGCTCTTAGCAAATTATCAAACAAGATTGTCTGAATGATCCTGTTTCACTGGGTAGCTGCACATACATTTTCTTTGGGTTACAGAAGTGTACCCTTAAGTGTCCTGGCAATCCTATGGAAGACATTACCTCCATACAAAAGCACTGAATTCTGGCTGAAATTTTCTTTTACTGAAAAGTCTTAAATTTGTTAGTGTACACCAGTATTATGAGTACATACCAAATAATAATATTAACTATTAAAAAATAATGAAGCAACCACATGGCAATTCCAATCATGACCTTTACAAGTTAGCTACGCTGCTTTTGAATTGTTTTCCTCATTACAGAGCTAGGATGAGAAATGGAACTAAGTGTTTTTTTGGAGCTGATGTTTTAGAAGTATTAAGTAGGGAGTTCTGAGTTTGTTTTAATATTTTTCTTATTTACAATTTATTTATTTATGTATTTGAGATGTTTGTATATAACCACTTCAGGTAAGTACACCATTACAGAATCTAAAGAAATGACTTAACACCTGTGAAATGGAAAGTACACCATTACAGAATCTAAAGAAATGACTTAACACCTGTGAAAAGAGATGATTTATAAATTAGTTCAATTCTATTCAGTTAGTCTCTCCAAATTTGTTTTTCACAGCAAACCATAAAATGGGACTATATATGAGTTTCATTTATTTTTGTATGCTTCAAAGAAACATTCTTTTTGCACCTTCCTTTCACAGCTGTCTGACTATGACCTCAAGAGTCCACCTGGAAGGAGATTCCAATCAAGAGGAATATATCAGGGAGAGAAAAATGTAAAAACCATTCACAAAGACCATTTAAAAGAATGACATGAAGATACTTGGTTTTATAATATATGTATTTGGAAGAAGGTGTAGACTATATATCTGCACATGTACATATATATTTTTTCTTCTTTCAGATATCTTGTTAAATTTGATCAACTTAGTCATCCAATTGACAGAGCAAAGCAACCCCACGCTTGATCCAGTGTTGAACAGGGTGATCTGTTTTTAACAACATGGCAATGACAAAATTAGTAGAATGTCCTGTAGTAGAAAGAGTTCCTTTACGTTCACTTGTCTTGTAGAGAGGACAGACATAAGCGTTCGTCTTCATAATCTCAGACTTTTTAGCTTAGAAAAAGAAACATCCTTTTAATAAAGGGGAAACAATCACTGATACTAAAAGAACTATTTTTCTTGAAATAAAATGACCACTAGGAAATCTAAGATCATGTATGCGATACTTAAACATTTTAAAGTTGTTTTTTTAATAACTGATATATAATTGTGAAACAAAGCAAATTATTTCATATGGTGCATGTTTCTAGTTCAGAGGACAGGAATTGATTTTAATGTCTTGATCACTTAGCAAGCATAAAAATACTCAATCTGACTTGGGGGAGAAGAAGTAAGAAAAGGAGATGGTAGGGAAGAAAGAATAAAAATTGGCATAGGGGAAAAATAAAAATAAAGGTAAAGGAGGAGGTAAATGAGGAAATGCAAAAAGCTGTTTAGAGTTCTAATGTGACAAGCCATAATTTAGAAGTTAAAGCTACTATTTGTTTTCAGCCAAAGTTACTGTTTGCTTATTACTGAGAAAAAACACACCAACTTTTACATACTCACAAAAAGAATCTATGTAAAATATATATTCCATGAATAAGAGGGGGAAAAGTTAGAATATTTCCAAAATAATATAGATGCAACACACAAAAAAAGGGGGGGAAATATCTTTCTGATGTAAATAAACATTAAGTCACTATTATAGTTGAATGAAATCCTAATAGAGAATTATTTAGGGGAGTGGTAAAAAAATACCTATCATTATCCTGCCTAAAATGTTCAAAAGTTATTTTTTAGAAGTAACTTACTTGGTTTTATCCATATAATGGGCATCAAGTCAAAGAGAAGTTTGGGATGTTGTTCAGCAAGCAATCCACTATTAAGAGAAATTGATAGAATTTTATTAGATATTACATGAAATTTGTTCCTCAGAAATTGTTACTTATTGACTTTTAATATGAGAGATCTATCAATCTATCTGTCTATTTGTCTGCAATGAAATGTAAAATACAATAAAAACTAAGGAAGAAGTGGTGAAGACTTGAGAGAAATGAAAGGAAAATTTGGAAAGCAACCTATACATTGGCCAAACATCAGTATACCTTCTATGAGACAGACACTTCTATCGCATTGGACCCACACATCGGCTTGTCCCTATCCCTATTTCTGTTTCATAGATGAAGACTGGAGGTTTAGAGGGGTGGATTACTTTTCTCACAGTCACACAGCTCTTAAATTCCAGCATTAAGCTTCAAAAGATCTGTCTTTTCCCTTTGATGTTGTTTGAAAGGAGGGGAGGGAAGAAAGGAATGACAAATCCATATAGAAGGAAAAGTAGGAGTAATGTTAGCAGAGTAATAAAAAAGGAGAGAACTTATCAAATACACTGTATGCAGCTGAATCTCCTGATAGTCCTATCTTGGAATTATCTCTGTAGAAGCAACTTGCTCTGTCTAAAGTGATTTTTCCCTGTCCAAGTTTTTAATGCTCTTTTGGGGAACAAGCCTAACCCTGACTCTGGAAATAGAATATTATGTTATTTAATGAACTGTTAAAGAGTAGGGCTCCCCTTCTCTCATATACTTAAACAGGATAGTATTGCTTAGTTTCCTGAGCTAGAAATCCAGTACTTAATCTAATTTTTTATTATGCCATCCAAAATGGGAAATGAGAATTTTCCTACAACTATAAAATACTTAAAAGTGAGATGCTCCTAGGCAGTACAAAACAGAAGGTAACTTAAAAAAAAAGAAGTAGGAAAATAATTTAAACTAATCTTTCTACTGGTAAGGATTATTGAAATACCAACTAATGTTCACAACCTAAATGTACCTATCAATTGCTCCAATCTGACTAATGATTTATCGTGAGTATTCTGATATTACTTAATACTTGCTATTACTTCCCAAAAAGGCCTTTTGGTAGGAGGGAAAAAAAGGTCGACAGTTAATATTACTTAAGATTCAGCTATCAATCAAGAGGCCTTTGCAATTGAAACTACTGACCTGTTTCTGTCCCAGCGTGCTCCATCAAGATATAATCCATGGATATAAACACCATCTTCTGGTGCTTTCTCAGATTTATGAGAAGGAATAACCTGAAGGCAGAGGCACACACTAGTAATGATCTCTTTAGATAACTCTGTCTCATAAAGGAACCACTAACTACATCTTCAGAAAACACTCATGGAACTCCACTATACACTAGCTTGTTAGGCTAACTTTTTTTCAGTAAAAAGTAAAAATGTTTAATTCAGTTTTTTTGTAGTATTTTATCATGTATTTTTATATCTCATATTATTTTTTGCTAAAATAGAAGACAAGCATTTGGATTATTTGAATTAAATCTTGAATATAGACAGATATCAAGACAAAACCATTCTTAAGGAAACAAAATTTGTTTTCAAACTATCCTGGAAATCAATGGGCTATTAAAAATATGAATTTTGCACATCCCCTTTGCTTAAACACATGATTTAGATGTAGTGATATGTTGTGGGTTTTTTGGTTTGTTTTCATTTTAAATTTTATTTTTTAATAAAAACTTTTCTTACATCATTGTCCACTTTTGTACATTATTTGACTTCTCCCTCAGGTGTAGTCCCCATAATTCCCCACGATGGCATCTGTGAACCAGTACCATTATACTGTGGAGTTTGAGGAGTTACTGACCTCAAATTCATATCCTAGTAAATCAATAGGGATGGTATATTTTCTGGCATAATTCTGCATTGCTCCAGTTAAAAAGGCTTGGGTGAAAAAGAAACCTGAGAGCCAAAACACACACGGTTTTCCAGTATTATACCAGTCCTATAAAGGAAAAATGAATCACATTATACTCATTTATAACTTACATGCTACCTGAAATGCAATTCTTGACTCTGGTTTTTGAGTGGGTTGCCAATGCTTTGCATCAGGGGACTCAAATCTTCCCTGACACCAAGCATACAGCTTAGGTTTGGCCCTTCTACCTCTTTCCCTTCTGATTAT